GACCGTCTCATCCCATACCCATTGGACAGATGAGAAAGCCAGGAGAAGCACAGGAAGGAGAGGCCAGGCTGGAAACGGGCCCCTGACAGCCAGGGCAGTTCTCCGTCCTAACACCACGGAGTGAGGCCTACAAATATGGTACCTCATGCCCCCTTTACAGAGATGCAGAGGGAGAGGTTCTGGCAGCTCTGCCAGACACTTGGGGTTCGCACTGGGACACGGGTAGCTACCTCCTTCTTAATAGGCAGGACAGAGCTAAAATCTGGAAGATACAGGAGCAAACCAGGCAGTGTGAGGACGGCCGAGCCTACAGCCCCTGCCAGCGGGGCCCCCTGTGCCAGGCCCTGCTCCTGGGAAGACAGGCCGCAGGGCTCTCCCCCGTTCCTCCAAACAGTGACCATGGGGCCTTGAAACGGTCATTTTATTTCCATCTATTGAACAGGCCAATAGTAGAGCCTTCTCCCATGAGGCTGTGATAGGGCTTAGATAAGAGAAGTAAATAAAAATACTCAACAATTACCAAGTCAGTTTCCCACAGGCCAGGCCCCGCTCGGAGCTCTTTCCAGGTGTATTTAATCATCACTGTGATGTTGTGAGACAGGCCCTATGAATATCCCCACTGTCCAGATGAGAAAATGAAGGCACCGAGAATCACGGCTGGTAAGTGGCAGAGCATGGACTGATTCCAGCACAGGCTGATTCCAAGCCCCTCTGTCTAAAGCCCTTGGCAAAGTCACTTCTGTGAGGGGTAAGTGGTCAGCGCAGTGCCAGGCACATGGAGCTGCTTGGTAAAGTTGCTGCTGATATAATAATAATTATTGTGGTTCCTGGGGAAATCTGCCACCAGCAGTGCCATCTGCCCCAAAGTCAGAAGAAGGAATACCCTGATGTGTTTTTCAAAACTTTTATCATTTCTTCTAAGAAGTAAGAGAATAGTTAGCAAGTGCTTGAGATAAATTCTTAAAAAAAAAAAAAGATTTTATTTATTTATTTATTCTTAGAGAGAGAGGAAGGGTGGGAGAAAGAGAAGGAGAGACACATCAATGTGTGGTTGCCTCTCATATGCTCCTAAACTGGGGACCTGGCCCGCAAACTAGGCATGCGCCCTGACTGGGAATCGAACCAGCGACCCTTTGGTTCGCAAGCTGGCACTCAATCCGCTGAGGCACACCAGCCAGGGCTCAAGATAAATTCTTGATGAACCAAAATATTTTATGGTCTTTTTGGAAAACACAAAAAGAAGAGGGGGAGGACCTATAGTCCTACCACCTTCCTTTCACTTTCCTATGCATGTTTATTTTTTATTTTGGTTCCTAATTGCTAACATGTTGTGAGAGATTTCTGGATTCTGCAACCTCCACTTAACATGATTCCATGAGCTTTCCCCCATAAGATAATTTTTAATGGCTGCAGACTATTCCATCCAGCAGAGGTCTCCTTCACAACCCCTTCCTGTTTGCTCCAGTTTGGGGACTTTATTCTATGTGACCTGAAGAAATAAATGCCTAACAGTAAACTTTCTGAAACCAGTAAGCCGGTGTTAGAGAAGGCTTGGGAACAGAATGCCCTTCTCAACGTCCAGGTGATGAAACTGTTCTGGCCATTACGTATCTCATTCATGCTTAAGGCTTCCCCCTCCCCCATAGGTATTTTTGAACCTCACCTTCTGGGCTGAAGGTTTCTTTCTTTTGTTTTTTTAAAGATTGGATTTATTTATTTTTAGAGAGAGAGGAAGGGAGGGAGAAAGAGAGGGAAAGAAAAATCGATGTGTGGTTGCCTCTCACATGCCCCCAACTGGAGACCAGGCCCACAACCCAGGCATGTGCCCTGACTGAGAATTGAATCGGTGGCCCTCTGTTTGGTTCGCAGGCTGGCACTCAATCCACTGAGCCACACCAGCCAGGGCTGAAGGTTTCTTATCTGCTAAAGATGCCCACACCATCTTCCAACTGGAAGTCAGAGACCTAGGACCTTATCCTCGACCTGATGCTGCGGGGCTACAGGACAGACCTTGGATACGTCACTTCTGTGGGGCCTCTACCTGTGAGCTCAGGGGTGTGGTACCTCTCCATCCTGCCCAGTGAGAAGACCTGAAGGACAGTCCTGTGTCAGCTCTGCCCCTAAGTCACCATGGACCCTCAGTGTCTTGTGAGACCCTCTGGGCTCTGTTTTACCATCTCTTTGTAGGAGGCTGAAACAGAAGAACCATCAGGCAGGCAGAAGTGAGCTCATGGGCACCCCCTTCTCTTACTTACCCTACTGGACTACGCACCCCCAGAGGACAGAGACCCCAGATCCCAAATTCCAAAACATGAATAGACCACAAAAACTACCAACAACTTCCTCTACGGCCCAAGCTCATTCCTGTCTTAGAGCCTTTGAATTCACGGAGCCGCCGCCTGGAGCAGTCTTTCCTCAGCTCCTCTCACGGCGGGTCCATCTGATCCCTCAAGTCTCAGCTCAGATGTCACCTCAGGAGACCCTGATCACCCTGTACAAAGGTGCCATCTCTTTCCACTACCTACCCAGTTTTATATTCATAAAAGCACTAAATAAGTATTTGAAAGGATATTGTTGACTTCAGTGTTTCGTTGTCCAGCAACCACTGAATGCCACCTCCAAAAGAACAGGGACAAGGACTGTCTAGTTTACCACTTATCCCATAGAACCCCACAAACACATGATAAATGAGTCCTGGGTGCTCTGGGCACAACAGTACATCTAAAACCCACATGAATAGAGCACCTACTGTGTGCCAGGCACCATGCCAAGCCTTTTATATAGAGCGACTCTGTAATACTCCCAACAACCCCTGAGATAGTGACATTACTAACATTTTATAAATGTGGTAACTGAGGCACAGAGCAGTTGAATAATTTGCCCAAGGTCCCATGGCTAGCATGCAGGCAAACTGGGACACCCTACTGCACACTGTAAGAATATGCTGAACCAACATGGGACAGAGTCCCTGTCCTCAAGAAGCTCAGGGGCTCTTGGGCAAGCTGGCCTTGCCCACAGCGTGGGAAGTCAAGGCCTCTTCCCGGAGGAAGGGGTGCCTCAGCTAAGTCCCGAGGGCAAGGGGGACTGCGCTAGGGTGAAGTGGAGGGAGGGCAATCTGAACCGAATGGAGGCCAAGAGGCAAACGAGAGAGCAGGAGACCTGAGGGACTGGGAGGAAGACTGTGTGGCTGGAGCAGGGACTATGGGGTACGCTTTGAGTCAGGGGGCGTGGTCACCTCAACCCTCACTGACTGAGGTTAAAAAAAAGGTTCCAGCAGACAAAAGTTGAGGCACTACGGCTGGGAGGATCACACAGGGCCTTGACCAGATCAGGGACCCGAATTTTATCCTGAGGTTTCTAGGCCATACCTAAAAGCCTGTATGAGCCCCTAACTCAGCAATGCCCAAAGACCACAGGGGTCTCTGGAAATTTCTGCTGACTCACTGTGGGACCTTGGGCACCTCCAGGCCCTCCTTGTGTCTGAGTCTCCCAACTGGTATTGGATGACCCAGTCCCAAAAGCACATCCTTGCAAACCATAAACAGGATACTGTTGGCCAATGAGAGCCTGGCATTCCCAGAGTCTGATTCTGGGACTCTGGTGTACTGGCCATCCCAGACTGCTGAGGCCGGCCCACCACCACGGCACTCTGCCAAGCAGCTCTGGGCTGGGGGCTGAGCTCCTCTGCTCCTCAGTCCTGCCAAGATATGGGAGCTCCCTCAGGTTTCGGCTGGATTGGGCTTGGGGGGTCTACTCCGATCCTCCAGGAGACAAAGGAGCTGACCTGCAAAGAGTTCCAGCAGGAGCCCCGCTCCCCCCTCCCTCCCCCCTCTCCCTTCCCAGTCCACGTGTCTCTATTGTCTGCTCCCCGCTTCAGGGAAAGACACAGCCTCGGATGTGTCAAAACCACCACCCCCCAGCAGCAGGGAAATTAATTACTGGACGATTTTCACTTCCTCTGGCAGCGCCTGCCTGAGCTAGGCACCGGAACAGGACCGGCTGAGCGGGGCAGGCATCGGCATGGAGGACTTGGTCCCCCCACCAGACTGGGAAAAGAAAGTTGAACCCCAATCCCAAAAGGAGGCTTCAGTGGGAAACTGAGCTGGAGTGGGGGGAGGGCTTCCTCTAGTGAAAGCTGAGTGTCCACACTGGCCGCTTCAAAACTGAGGGCGAGGGAGAGGGCTGGAGGCAGGAAGGTCGCCGCTGGCGAGCTCACACTTTCTTCTTTGCACCCCTTCTCTGTGTCCTCATGTGCCTGAACCCCACCTGCTTGGACCGCTCTCCCTCCTCTCCCCTGGGCTTCTCCCTCTATCTCGCACTTTTCCTTTCTTTGCATCGCTGGAGGGCTTTCTTTTTGTGTGTCTGGATCTCTCTCTGCCTCCCGTGGGTGTGTGACTGTATGTTGCTACTTCTCTCCGTCTCTGTCCTTCTTCTGTTTCTCTTGTGTCTTTTTGTCCTTATCTCGGTCTCTCTGTTTCTATTTCTACCTCCTTCAGTGTGTGTGTCTCTTTCTCTGCATGTCTCTTTCTGTCTTTCTCCGTGTATCTCCTCTCTCCTCTCTCTCTCTCTCTCTTCCCCCCACCCCATACATACTCCTCTTTCTCTGTGTCTGTCTCCGCGCCTTTCTCGCCCTCACTTTCTCCCCTCCTGCCTGCCTGCCCGCTGCTCCCTGCGCCTGGCCTGCCCCCACCGCCGCCGGTTCAGGGGAACGTGTGCGGAGCGATTGTCCTGGGGGACATTTGATGGATTAGAGCGCTGAACAGTTCCATTGCTAGGGGACCACCTGATCTCCTCCAGCTTGCGTCCCATATAAAGCCGGCAGCCGGAGTGCTGAGCACAGCTCCAGCGATCGCCTGTCTGCGTGCCGCCGCCGCCGCCGCCGCCGCCGCCGCCAAGCCCGAGCCGAGCCGGGCGGCTGCCGCTGGGGCCGGCTCGGCGCTGCTGTCCGCCCGCCCGCCCGCTGGGAGCTGTCCAGTGCTGAAACCCCGCGCAGACAGCCAATCGCGCCCGGCTGGCCGCCTCCCCCCACCGGGGCCCCACGCAAGTGCCCCCGCCGAGCCCCCCGCCAGTCGCAACATGCCGCGCTCCTTCCTGGTAAAGAAGATCAAAGGGGATGGCTTCCAGTGCAGCGGGGTACCAGCCCCCACTTACCACCCTTTGGAGACCGCCTACGTGCTGCCTGGCGCCCGGGGGCCGCCCGGGGACAACGGTGAGTGGGACCGGCGTGGGGGCCGGGGGGACGGGGTTCGGACCCTCACCAACTCGAGCTACGAGGAGGGGTGCGCCGGAGGAGAACCCCGAGAGGAGACTTCCCTGGCGGTGTGCGCCTCCCGGGGTTCCGGAGGGCCGGGCGGGCGGGGCAGGGGCTAGGTCTCTACAAAGGGAAAGTCGCAGGGTCGAAGCCATGCGCCAGACCGGACTCTGAAAGTTGTGGCCCCGGAACGGGGCTAGAGTGAGGGGTGGTGAGAGAAAGAGCGAAAGGCGTCCATGAAGGGCTAATGCTGGGGGGCTAACGCAGAAGGCAGTCCGAGGGCCCCCTCTCCCGGGTTGAGTGAAGGAAACTGGCTGCCTGAGCGTGCTCCCCTTGTGGGGAAGGTAAGCGGACCTAGACTACCATTCTCCCGGGAGATGGGGTTGGCTCCCAGGGGGTGGCTGAGACGCCCTCCTTCCCTTCCAACCTGCTCCCCCTGGCGATGCCAGACAAGTGTTCTCAGGCCCCTTCTCTCAGCAACTCTTTTGTTACCCTCAGCCACATGCCTGCCAAAGGCTGGGCCTGTCCGGGGGACTGTGAAGAAGACACTTCTAGGAGGGGTTTCCCAAAAGTGACTCCTGGTCCCCTGGGCTGCAATCCCTCCCCACTCCAGCTTGTCACCTGCCTCCACAACCAGCCCTGCTGCTCCTTCTAAGTCCCCCATCCCCAACACACTCCATCTCTTCTCAGAGCAAGTTCCTGCAGGGACAAGGGTTTGGGGGACAAGAGAGGTCATTCAGGCCCAGAACAGGGTGATCTCTGGAGGGGGTGGGGAAGAACCAAAGATTGCTTCTGTGGACCCATCAAAGGGCTCACAGAACCAGTCTCAGCTGGCAACCACCAGGGCAGGTATCTGGAAAGGAGGCATCCCTTTGGCAATGAGAAATCTGACATCACATGTGGCATCAGCTTTGGTGTGTGTGTGGGGGGGAGAGAGAGAGAAGGGGAGAGTGGAGAGGAGAGGAGAGCAGAGGAGAAGAAAAGGTTGAGGATGAGGGGGGAGCTGGTCTGGCAAAGGCAGGAGCCCAAGAGAGTGGGAGCTCCTGCTTTGGGGATTTCCAAGCACTTCACCCACATTCCATCACTCTGCCAAGCCCCGTAGCAAGAGGGCGCTGGGCAAAGGGCTCTGTGACCTCATCAAGGTCAAAGAAATTAGGGAGTGATCGGGAATACAACTACAGCCCCTCAGCCCCTAGCCTCACCCAGATCTCCAAGAGAACCACCTCCCTTTCTTGTTGCCCACATGCCCCTTATTCTCCTGTCCTCTTTTCTTGACCCTAGGGTCTCTCGGGGTCCAGGACAGAAGCCCAGGGGCATGGCGGGGCTTGGTTGAGTGCTGGCAGGGCAGAGGGTGGAACTGGGGCCACGCCAGGACTGGGGAGCGTGTGCTGGGGGCTGGGCAGAAACTGAAATGCCTGCAAGCCTACAATGGGGATCCCTGGGGGGACTGACAGAAGCCCGGGCTCCCGCCCCTTGAGGCGCCCTCAGTTCTGTCCCCAGGCCAGCTAAGGAAACCCAGAGAAGCCCAGAGACTTTTCTCATGCACAGCCAGAACTGCAGGCTGTTCCTCAGGAGGAAGGCAGGAGTGCCTCGTCTTGAATTCAGTCCAAGAAAGCTTTAAAAGAAGCCCCTGAGTGAATGGTGGGGGGCGGGATCGGGGAAAGCCATCAGCAGAGGTGTCCCTGTGGAGGTTCTACCAGATGTGACACCCTAGAACCGCTCTTATCTTTGGCCCTTTCCCCAAAGGGCCCCAGGCCAGCTCCCTGACCTCATGAGAATCCCCGAACTGTCCTGACAGTCGGCTACATGGCCTGGAACTCTGGGAGGCCTGGGCTCTACATCTCTGACTCGCTCTGCAACCTTGGGCAAGTGCCTTCCATCTCTGGTCCTCCGTCTCCCCAGCAGTGAGAGAGTTTGGGTAGCGTGAACTACGTATCCTTCCAACTTTGACAATCTCGATTTCTACGGAGGTCAAGTGTGATGTGGGAAGAACCGGAGAGGCCCGGACGAGGGTCTAAAAGAATGCAGAGGGCCATTGCCGGGGGTTTTGTAGGGCTCTATTTACCAACCAATGCCTGGCTGAGGGTGGCAGAGTTTCTGCGATCCGGCATTTTTCTTGGCTTCCGTCTTTGCAGGCTGCCCCACAGTGAAGACGGGCATCCTGGCCTGGCAGCCTTGGCAGTGTCTGCAGCAGACAGCTGGTGCCAGAGACCAAGGGGTGACCCTTCAAGCTGGGTGTGACCAGGAAACACAGGGTCTGCCTCATCCTGTTTTCCGGGGCCTCTCCCATCCCTGGGGTGTGGCCGGACTGGGCAGCTAGGGCTCCCTCATTCCATGGCTGGAAGGGGTGCTGGGGTCCTCAGAGAGCCTGCCAGCTCCTAGTGGTCTGTTGTCTCTGCTCTGCCGGAAATAACCTTGCTGAGCGTTTGAGGGAAGTGTGAAAAATTGCTGAGCTGACGTTTTTTCTCTCCCAGCGTGTGTAAGTGTGCTGGGTAAACAAGGAGAAAGAGAGGAGGGGGGAGGTGAGGAGAGTGAGGGAGGAAAGGCGGGAGGGAGGAGAAGGGAGGGAGAGAGGGAGGGCCTGGGGCTGGAGATAGTTCCAGTTATTAGAAAGATCCTCTTACAGCCGTTCTTGCAGCAAGGGCTGCAGGGTCAGAAGGATGGTGGGAGGGGAGCACGAGGGGTGAGGAGGGGGCCTGTGAAAGCAGAGGTCAAGGGAATCAAAGGCCCCTAACTGATGAAGATGCAAGCCCCCAAGTGAAAGAGGTGTACCCCCAGCTGAGGGGATGCCTGGGAGAGCTGGAGAATTCCTGGAGGACTCTTACACACACACACACACACGCACGCACGCACGCACACACAGAGCAATGCTCTTCTTTGCCTCCCTACACTGTTCCTTTTCAGCTTCCATGGTCTGAGCATAGGGTGCAGCAGGTGTGTCTGGTCTTGAGGCTCCCCCCAAACCACAGACCCCATAAATGGGGAGGGGCCGCCCCCCAAATGGGGGAAGCTCCACAGAGCTCCCCAAAGAGGGAAGACCAGCTCTCATTTCACCATCCTCTCCGATACAATGCCTCTTTTCTTCCCTCCTGCTCCCCTCCTCCTCGACTCCTTTCTGCCTCCTCGGAGCCTCCCTTCCCCTCCTCTCTCCTGGGTGATTCTGAGCGCTGATTCAGCCTGTGGGTGAGATGCCAACTCACACCTTCCTAACCCCTTCAGAAACTAGCCCTCCAATTCCACCAAGTGCACCCCGTCACAGGCCTGGGCTTCCTTCCTGGGGGACACCAGGGACACTCACCTTCCCGGAGAAGATTGCCGCCCACCCTCTGCACGGCAGTGGTCTCTCTGGACCCCAGCTAAGTGTCTACCTTCCTCATGCCTCATCTGCGAACTCCAGCTGGGCCCCAGGTCCCCCTGCCTCTGCACCCCTTCCTGGTCCTGCTCTCCTACTCCTTTACGGTGCTTTCGACCCGGGGAGATGAGGGATCAATGCCAATCCAATAACGCAGTTGTCTGCCCTCCACAGCTACATTAAGTCTCCCTGCTAGCAGGCTGAGGAGGCACTCCGACTTCTGCCCGTGGGCTGATCTAGCTGACCACATTACACCAGTGCCTGCTTCCTCTCACTCCCTCTGATGGCGCCAGGAGTCGCTCCCAGCCAGGCCCTGGAGCCTGGCTGAAAGGCCTCAACACATCCACCCCACACCTTAAAAAGTCGGTCTGGGGAGGAGCGGTACAAAAGGGCTGCCCAATTCCTTGGCCAAGGGAGCCCAGAGAACGTTGGGGAGGTGCCCAATGACACACAGCAGGCCCATCTGAGTCTTCTTTAACCATGACTTTCCCTAGCATCTTGGTCTAGGTCCAGGCCCAGAGTCCAGTCCAGTCCCAATGTCCAGGTCCAGATCTAAGGTCCAGTGTCCACAGCCAACCTGAAGTCTAGGACTAGGTCCAAGGTCTAGGTCCAGGGTCAATGTCTGAAATTATAGGTCCAGTCCAAGATTCAGAACAAATCCATGTCCAAGTTCAAGTTTCAACATCTGGGATCAAGCCCAGGTCAACATTCAGGGTCCAGAATCAAAATCCAGGTCCAATTTTTAGTTCAAGGTTATGTCCAGGTCCATTCATTCTCAAGGCGGTCTAGGTTCAAGTCTTAGACCCATCGTTAGCTTTCTCTGTGGCTTTGTACTAATCTTCCCTACCCCAGCCTCAGTTTGCCTCTCATTAAATCGAGCAGTTGAACTTGATCTCTTTCAGCTCTGACTTTCTAGGGATCCAGAAATCTGATTTTCCTAAGAACTAGTCAATGAGAGTACAGAATAACAAGGCCCATGTGAAATACAGAATTGGGGGCCCGTGGTCCTCCCTAAAGCCTGGGGTCAAAAGGGGTACATGAGGGGCCCAAGCCGAGCCTCCACTCTTTGGACAGTCTCAGTTTGTGGTTCCTGAGGGAGGGCAGGAGAGTACATCGAGTCCCTACATCAGCACAGCAGTTTATACATCCCAAGGACTTCCCACACGTGTGCATACACACGTGCACACACACGCACGCTGGGCAAAAGGCAATGAGCACACGGGAGTATTAGCTCTGACCTCCAGAGGCAAACCGAGGACCAGGGAGGGCCCATGACTTGCCCCAGGTCACAAAGACATAAATGGTGGGCCCTGTCACACCTCCCTGGTGGGTGCTTCCTCCACATTCTAGGGGCCCCCACAGCTTGAAAGCCTGTGGCAGGTATAGAGAGATACTGCTGGTGTCCCCTATGCTTGGTGAGAGGTGAGGCCCCCAAACTCCTGGCCTCCTTCCCAGCTGTGGTCTCCCCTGGAGGGCCCACTGTCACCCTCTGAGCAGGAAAGGAGGCTGAAACGGGCTCTCTGATTGCACCCTTCCGGGGCAGAGAGAGGGTAGGGCAGGAAGCAAGAGCCTGAGAGACGGCACACACTGTGCAAGACACCTGGTC